TAAAAAACACTTTAATTAGCCAAACAGGCCCTAACATCTGCAACTAAGTTATTTTAACATTATTCCAACAGTATGCATAACTACCTGATCCATAAATCATGCATTGTACTTCTAGAATGCAAAACAATAGCTAGTTTAGCTATCTCAACTCTCAAAATGCATTTCTCAATTTGATGCAGGTTCATGAAAAGGTACCAGGTATGGAGAGAACAACTTTAACGCGTACCTTGAAGGACCATCTCTACCACTGCCCAAGCAAATTATCTGAGGATCTGGTCAGGTGTATGGCTGCAATATATTGCTGGATACAAAGCACGACATCTATGAAGCCAGAAAAGAACCATTCTCTTTTATTGTCCAGATCATCAACTAGTGTTGTCCTCCCTAGACGTGGTATTGTGGAGGACAGAGATTTGTCTTGCAAATCCATGGTAGAAATATCTTGGATATCAACTGATAAGAATCAATTCTCTCATGCATCTTATCCTATCAACAACTATAGGTAGGATGTTTCTTGGTTGAAAGAAGCAAGCAGTAAATAATAGAATATCAATCTTCCAGTTTTTTGTTTTAGTGGTTCAAAGTTCCCATTAGGTAGAAATTAGAATAGGACACAGTGAAAGCAATTTGGTAAATGCATTCATGCAATAAGGAACTCAGCATCTGAAAAATCCACCAAAAAATTTGTGAAATCATCACAACTCACCACCTTGTTGATGGTTTGATGAGATACTGTGAACTATTTCACACAAACTTTTGCATACTTTCTATCTAGTCATGATAACTATTTGGCTTACAAAATCCTGAATAGGATACATCAAACAGTGATTTTCACACACCCAGCATATACTCCTGTTCAATATGTTGTCATGAAAACGTAGTTGTGGCCTACCGATGGTTGCATTGGATTTTCTCTTTATTTTATCCCTTACATGAATACCAGTTTTAATATTCTTTCACTTTTGCCAATTTCAGGGTTCTAGTGGAACAACTGGAGAGGGTCAATGTGAATCAAATGGGAAGCAATGCCCAAATGGCATTTTGGATTAATGTGTACAATTCTCTTGTTATGCATGTAAATATTTTGTAACTGGAAATAGCGCTCCTTCTCCCTCTATGTTTATATGTATATGGTGTTTTGTATCTATATAATGGTTTCTCTTATAACCTTTGTAGGCATATTTAGCATATGGGATTTCACATGGTTCAATGAGAAGGATGGCCTTGTTTCACAAGGTAACCTCTTTCTTTTATTTTCAATTTGGGATTAAATTGCACTAATGAATTTCATGTATCATGACCTTATTTTGTTTTAACAGTCTAATTTTATACATAGTGAATGAACAATCATAATTTTATGTGGATCTCACCACTTGTATCAAAACATTGATGGATTTCATGCAGGCTGCTTACAGCATTGGTGGCCATGTAATTAGTGCAGATGCCATAGAGCAATCTATTTTCAGTTTCCGTACCCCTCGAATTGGCAGGGTATTGACCTATTCTCCATGTCTATGTCACATAGTGATAGTATTCTCCTGTATACATACACACATACATATGCACTTTGGAAAAGTTATCTAATTATGCTTCATGGGTGAAAATTTTTCTCTCAGTTACCTGACAATCATACTATTTGGCAGAACTGTCGATTTCACAACCATCTCCCAAAAGATATCTTTGACCAAAATCATCCTGTGAACTACAAAAGAGTTCTCTTTTTCTGGATATGGTTCACTAAAAAAGTATTATATGGGCATGATTATCTCACTCGTGATGTTTTGCAACATAGCTTTATATGGCATTTATCTTACAAGTAACACAATTATGCATTTATTGCAAAAGGGAAAATGTGTGCAAGCTGTATGCGAAAGGAAAAGACATGAGAAATAATAAAAAATACACCTACAGCCCCCACTTTCAAGAAAGGCCTATGCAGAACAGAAGAATCCTAAAAGAACCTTGACACCCTCAACAAGGAAGGGTATCAAACATAAGACATCAAAATGACCCCCAATCACTAATACCTCCTCCCCCAATTCATTCTACAAACAAAGAAAAACCATACCAAGCAAGAAGAATCCCTGCCAGCCTGCCGTCCAACGGGACCCTTGCTTCCAAGTCAAGGCATCAAACCTTGCCGTCAATATAAAAAAGCGCAGATAACTAATCACCAACTTACTCCCTTTGTGTCTTCTCCCTCTTCATCTAGTTTCAGTTCCTTAGCCCCTCTTTTCCTTTTTCATTTACAACTGTGTCCTCCAATTTATCCCAATTAAATATATTTTGCAGATTATCAACAATATTTTCACCCCCACTACAATTGACATCCACTAAAGGCTTTTTCCTCCCAAAGAAATAACATAATTCTCTCAACTATCTTTAAGCCTGTTCTTGATCCCAGAGTTCTTTGTTCCCAACCATATGAAAATATTCCTTGGTTCTTACATCTCTCCGTAGGAAGAAGACTCCAAGCTCTTCTAAGCTTTACTTGCACATCAAGATCCTTCATGCTCTCTTCTGTAATGATGATTCTTCTTATTCTATCCACCTGAACTTCATTCTTCATTCTCTTCAGTGCACTTTACATATATTGCACAGGATTGCATGGAGGAAAGCTATATGAATTAAGATCAGAAATTTCTGGATAGCAATAGTTCATAATTTGAATGGGGAGATAATAAAAATATTATGTTGATAATTTGTACTAACAATAAAGAAGAGAAGTCAAAAAACAGATAGGAACCAAGAGACAAGAGACAGGAGAGGTTGTACCATTCTGGTACTTAACAGTTACAGGTTGATTCATGATTCTCATTCCACATTCGAACACTGAAGTTCAGTTACAACATACTTCTTATTGAAATCACTGGGTAGGCTAGCCCTTACAACTTATTTCTAGAATTATAAAAAGCAACTAAAAGGCTCCTATATCTAATTACTTAGGTATTTAAAACAGAATTTCATCATTGATACACTGCCAAATTGGAAAACCTATTTAATGACACCAGAGTCAAGTTGAACCAAAAAAGTGTGGATGCCCAAAACTTACGCTAGGAAAAAACATTATGTGATTAAAACCAAGGTTCAAAGTTCCTGATACACCCCTACAGGGGGTGTTTCGGAGTCTGACCTGGTTCAGAGGGTAGACGGGGCCTTAAACCAACCCCTCTGAACCATGCCAAATTTTTATACATTCATTTGTAGTGAATGAAACTGGGAACCATGCTAAATTTTCTTATTGTCATGTATGTTTATCTATTCTTATTTATTTGCAGTGGTTTGAGACCATACTTTCAACTGCCATGAGGAAGAAATCTGGAGAAGAAAGGCAACTCCTCAGTTCAAGATTTGGCCTCCAATGTTCTCAACCACTCATCTGCTTTGCCCTTTGTACTGGAGCTTCTTCAGATCCTGTGGTAACTTGTTGTTTCTAACCAGTTTTCTTTATAATCAAACTGTGGCTGAATCACAACCAAAAAAAAATTATAAGGAATAATAATAGGAATTTTGTTAATGATAAGGCAGTAGCTCTCTATTATCCAGAAAAGGGATAGCATGATAAATAGAAACAGAATTTAGCTACATCATCAAATTACAACTCTGCTACCAGTCCTTGTTTGTTCCATGATAGAAAATCCCCAGTAATATCTAACCTAGCTAAAGAATCTGCAGAGCTCTTCATTCATACTCAAAAGACATTTAATGATTGAAGACCATTTGGTATCATTGCAGTTTTCTAATATAACTCTGAACTCGGCTGAAATTCGATTGTTTTGTGTAAGTATTTATGTAGTTAGCCCAATTTTGAGTTAATATCCTCTTTGCAGATGTCCATGGGGTGTCCCGTTACAACCCAACTAGGAGTCTAATTTGGTAATTTCCAGTACGTAAAGGTGATTTCAGTAATTACACCTATACCATGGAATTTACCAAAACCCCTTGTTGAAGCATTTCTTGCCTACTGATGGGCTTGCTACATATTTCTTTGTGGGCATCATGTAAATGATCTGATCTCAATTTGATTATATTGTTCTCCAAGTGCAAATGAATCCTACTAATGCCATTCAGAGTGTAAAAGGCACAATTGGAGGCAATTTCAGTAGATACATAGGGTGTGCATTATTAGTGCATAATTACTCAAAAAAAAAAAACTCTGATTAACCATGTAGTTATTGGTTACCAAAATGTCATCTTGATTGACTTGGACCTTACCACAGAACTGTTCCTCTTGTTATTAATTCATAATGGCTTAGCTATAGCCAGAATAACCACCATCTTTCTTTTTCTTTGATAAGGAGTTGAATTCACACAGGTTGTGAATTGTCAAATATACCAGCTCCCAAAGTGAAAAACTCTCTAATTCAACTTTTGCAAGATTGTAATATGCATGGTGCAGAGTTCCCCATGTAGTTGCTTTTGTTGTTATTGTTGTTCTTGAACCCTGTGTGGTTTTCCAGTCTTGGCTACCTTGCCACTAGGGGTGCAAATGGATCGGATCATGATCCAATCTGATCCAAAGTCTGGTCCTATTTTGTTGGATTCAGATATCCCTATTTCGGATCATTTATTTATTTATAAATATGTTATTTTATATTGCATTTTTGTACATTTTTATAAAATTTTTATAAAAAAAAACATGTATATATATGGTAGAAATACTTGTATTTTTTTGTTTTTCATTATTTAAGCTGTTATATTTTCTTTTCCTTTTAATAATTTATTAGCTTTTTAATGAAATCAGATCAGATTCGGAATCGGATATCCGACATCCTCATCAGATTCAAATTCAAATCAGTATTTATGAGATCAGATCGGATCTATAGTGTATTGGATCTTATTCGAATATACCTTGATTCAAATCTGATATGATCCGTTTGCATCCCTACTCCCACCTAGCAAAATCAAGTGCCTTGAGCCAATGGGTTTCTCGTACTAACATCTTTTGCATCTTGCAGTTAAAAGTCTACACTGCAAAAAATATCAAGGAGGAGCTAGAAATAGCCAAGAAGGAGTTTCTTCAAGCTAATGTAATGGTGAAGAAGTCAAGAAATGTCTTTCTACCCAAACTGCTAGATAGGTTCGCTAAAGAGGCCTCCATCACCTCAGATGATCTTCTCAAGTGGGTTTCCCTGAATGTCGATAAGAAGCTCCATGATTCCATTCGTAAATGCACTGATTGTAAAACAAAGAGGAAAACATCACAGATTGTAGAGTGGTTACCTTACAATACAAGGTTCCGTTACATCTTCTCAAAGGACTTAATGGAGAAACCATGGTGGGTATAAACTTTTTGTGTTGAGCTGATTGAGCTGTCTTTGCTGGGGGGGGAGAAAATCAAATACTAGAACTTGTTACGGACCTGCAATCCTTCAATGTATAGATTTTATTCAATCTGCATGGTTCTACTCTGTACTTAAACCTGACTGTAGTGTTTTAACGGAACACATACGACATGAATCACATGTTAGATATCATAGGCCATCTTCTCAGACCTCCCAAAGGATTCACACAAATCTATTGCTGTTCCTAGGGCTCAGTTTGGAAAGAGTACAAATCAAATATTTAGAGTGCAAAATCTTGTATTTTTGTATTATTTTGTAAGCATTTGGAATATACATATATTTATATTTGTACTCTTTCCAAACTGAGTCTAATGTGCACTAGTATAACATCATCCCGAACTAAAATTAACATAATAACAAGTTTTGTAAAAACAAAAATAATGTGGGTGATTTTGACCATTATTTTATTTATTCACCACATTGAAACAATCTTCCATGGGAAATTTTGATTTAGGGCCTAAAATGACTATCTGTTGCAGTGCAGACCTGTGTAGCCCATGAATCCAAAAAATAAAAATAAAAATAAGCACACAATCAATGCTCACCTATCATGGTTCAAGAAAAATCAGCCGTGAACAAACAGCCCCTTTTGTATTGTATTGTTCAGAAAAAAATAAAATAAAAATGAACTACCCTTTTCTAAGCCTGGATATACTACTCACACGATTGTGTTACTTGTGTATGACTTACTACCTAATCAATCACAATTCACAAGTGAACACGCCTGTGCACTAGCATGTTGGCTTCATGTGTACAAAACGAGACTGGATCTGTTCTTCACACATGGCATCTCACAGGTGCCTCACACACACATCTCATCATGCATTGGGAACATCTCCCGTACTAATTAGTTATTATTTACGGGAGATGTTCCTAATGCACGGCGGATGTGCCTGTGAGGCGCCCATTTGTGAGGAGCAGATCCCGTCACATACAAAACACTAGTGTGTTCATTCATGATTGTTACATGGCAAGTGATACACAAAAGTGTGAGCAACAAATCCTACCTAGGTGCTCCTTTTCACCCTTAGATATATGTATGCAACTATGCATCATTAAATGTATGTATGTATTTTTGCATTGTTCGTTGCAAGCATTTATATATGTATGCATGTATGTTGTCAATACTCAAATTTTGCTTAATCCCGTTGTCCTACATTTTTATCCCCACTTTCAAGACCCCAAAATTTGAAAGGTAACTAAATCTGAAATTTCTAAAATTCCTTTTCTTTTTCAGCAATGTCCACATGCCAAATACTTGATCAAACCATGCTCGTAAATTCATAACACCAAAATGCCTAAAATTCACCTTCAATTTCCAACAAAATCACATCATTTTCAACAATCCCAATTAACAAGAACGGCAAAAGTCAATATATGATACTATATGGGCATTGATATCTAAATTAGGGACCGGATCTAGTAGGCACATCAAAGTAAGCACGTTAAGTGACCACTTGATAAATATTTTGACAACTATCGAAAGTGGGCATTAATCTTTTTCAAGGGTGGCGTGAGGGTATTTTAAGGGATAGGTGTCAAAAAAATTTTCAAGTGCTCATTGAACGTGCTTACAACTTCATGCCTACCTCATCCAAACCCTCCAAATTAGACACAACCCCTATATTTAAGATATTAAAACTTGAATGTATATCAAATTTCACAATCAAGCTCCAATAATCCATCATTCATCATACCAATATTTCTTTTAACAGGTCCAATCAATGCAATATTTAAAGCTATTATTTGTAAAATCAAATCCAACACATTCGTCACCTTGAAGACATTAGTGTATGATTATCCATCAAATCTTAACTTCAAATTATAATAATCAACCATAAAATTGCCAATATTCAATTCATGCAACCTTGGATGAACAAAACTAAAATGACTAATATCAACAAATTCTTTACCAAATCTGATTTTTTACATGATTCAACATCTTAACTTATGCCAGCATGCTAAATTTCAGCTAAAAGTCCCATTGTTTAACCATTTGATCATAAAAAATTTCAATCCAATGTTTACAACAAAATCACATCAAAATCTACAATTCAAATAACCAAACCCCACCCATGGAGTTTGAAAAACCTTAAAATGATCTACCCATCTAATTTCGGCCATAAATTCCTTTATTTCCTTTTACAACAAGCAATGTTTCTTTTCAAGCTATCCCGTTGGTTAATCAACTATAAGCTAGGACGGTAATCTCAACCAAATCTTAAATCAATACCTCTAATCAAAAAGTCTATTCATTCCATCGTAATCTATACGTTCAAAAATATCTACCCACCAAATTTCATCACAAGACTTCCTTTTTGGACCCACTATCAACCAATATTTCATTTTAGTAAACCTTATTGATTGTTTACTTACTGTTCAACATATGCGGTGCCTAACAATGCCTAGATGTCAAACAACAGTAAAAAACATTTATCAATTACTCTTCTCATTTTCAAGATAAATCCCGTACAAAAATTTATCCAATAAATGGTCAAAGTAGCAAACACCACCTTAATTCACCTATTTGATCATCAAACTTGAAAGATTTCATTTTGATGCATTGGATTACATCATCAATTTGTTTGCCTCAATTTGAGACTCCAAGAGTATGGGGCTAAGTCCTCCGGTTGACACCCCCCCCCCCCAAAAAAAAAAAAAATGCACCCCACCTAAAACTTGGAAAAGACTAAAAATCCTTTATGACTAACTCCAATTTACATTCTGTCGACGCCATTGGAATCCCAAAATTCAAGCTTGCCATATTAGCTACACCCTACACTCTTTTTGAACGCACCACCCCCTTGAAACTGAGCCCAAATCGAGGAAAACACTGCATCCAAAATGAAATGTTGACTACAAACATTTTTCATTTTAATCATTAACCATTTGCATGAATAATGTCTTATTGGAACCCTTGTCGTGCTATTGGGCGAGCTTCAGACTTAACTTGCCCTTGTGTCTCTATAAAAGGGACCCAATTTGAGTCCAAAAGAGAGGAGAGATCTCATAGAAGCATTCCAACTTTAAAGAGTTATCATTTTCGTTGTTCTCACAATAAATCACCAAATGTTGAACCCTTAGGGTCTGTTTGATTGCTGAGAAAAATTGGACTGAGAAAGGATGGGATGAGAAATGTTGGGATGAGAAGAGGAAAATTTATTTTCTCAGTTAGTTATAATGTGTTTGTTTGCTGAGAAAATTTTTGTGAGAAAATCCACTTTCTAATGTTTGTTTTGCAAGAAAATTTATAGGAGAAAAATCATGCTAAACTATAAAAATGCATGTAATTTACTTTTATGACAACTTGCACCCCCCCAAATGTTGGGATGACAAAATATAAGGTTTTGCACTCTACATATTTACATTTGTACTCCTTCCAAATTAAGCCTTAGGCTCAGTTTGTTTGCAGTGGTGTAAATGCAAACGAATGTAAATGGTTGAATGCAAATTCAAGTTTATTTTGCTCTTATTTTATTTGTTTGTGGGAAATAAAATAGGAAATGGAGGTCAGGAGGATGACATCAAATAAAAAAAGAATGGAGATAAGAGGGTTATTTGTTTGAGAATTAGGTAAGTAGCAGGATGATATGTCCCCACTAATTGAGAGTGGGGACAAATTTTGCATTAATTCTTGAGATGCAAAATTTGTATTACCAATGAATTTAAATGAGACAATTTTTGTATTCATTATATGGTAATATGGTATAGACCGCCAAAATGGACCGAACCATATATGATACTTTATTTGGGCTTACACGGCCCATCTGGACCGGACCGGAACAAAAACACCCCTATTAGGTATTAGCATCTACACCAAACAAAGAATGATAGGCGGCAAATTTGGGCCCAGAAGCCCAAACCCATCTCTCCTCATTATGCATTAGACCCAGATTTACTTGAAATTCATAATCAATCGAAGCCGTCCAATCAATTGAATTTATGTGGTTGACCAAAACCTAATAGTCCAGATTGATGACAAGTTAAAACGTTTCTCAGTAACTCAGTATTGAGTTGACTATCGAGTCGAATTAACCCCTGACAAGGCACTGCTTAGGTGTTTATCGCCTATAGGTACGGAAGGCATCCGTTCAAGGAGAGAGAGACAGAGGGCGAAAGCAAAAGCGAAACCTGGAGAGAAGAAAAAGTTGAGAAACCAAACTTTGATTCTAATGAATCAAAAGCTTTGAATCGCATTTAACTCGACGGACCAAACGAAGAAGAAGAGTTAAGAAGCAGCTGCTCAGAAACCCTAACACCCCCTACCCTCCCCGATCGTCATCGTCTTCGTCGTGGTATTCAAAGATTGAGAATAAAAGTCGGAGGAAGAGGAGGGAGGGATCATCGACTGTGAAGGATTCGCTGCGAGTTCAGAAGATGAGCAGACTATAGCAACATGTCTACCATAGTGTGCGGCAAGAGATCTTTCTTTGAGGACCTGCCAACAACGACCCTTGTTTCTTCTTTTAAGAGAATCCGTTGCTCCTCTTCTACTTCTCCGATTCGATTCTCTCCCCCTAGGCCCATCTATGCTGCTTTGTCATCGTCTCCTTCGCCGGCCGATTCTACGCCTCTGCTCAATCATCTCAGAGCTATTTTCCCTAGCATGGATGATCAGGTTGCTTATTTGTTCACCTTTGCATTGAACAGCTTCTTCGCCACTAGAGTTGCAAAGAAGAGAAGAGGACCGAGGGTGGTAATGTTGGTCTTCAGAGCTCCTCAAGCAATTGCCCAAAAAATCTTCTTAGCTTTTTCTTTTCTCACCGGGGTCGCACCGCTCACTTAATTTTGGGATCCCGTGTCCCTCTTGTTTCTCATCCCAAAACACTGTTTACCAGTAAACAAACACAAGATAGAAAGAATAATTCGGGAATATTCCCTTTTATCATTCCTTTCTCAACAATCAAACAAACCCTTAGGTTTCAAATTCGCCCCATAAAGATCCATATGCCCCCATAGGCACTTCATAATTTCAATTGGCATTAAGGGAACATAAATACCTCTCCTATTTCATTTGGAAGATCAACTAGAAGCATCTCATAAGTTCAATGACTCATTCAAATGCCATTTAATCATGATTCAGTTGTTGGAAACTATTTGTCAATGTCAAAATCGAAAGGTAAGCCCTCTCATTATTTTTTCTTGCTTC